GATTGACTTGAAGTTCGTTACCGAAGTTCATTACCGAAGCTCATTACCGAATGATTTGCTCTCTTTTATTTTATTCATTCCAATGACTTGGAATTAGTCTCCCAGTCCATGTGTTGTATCCTTAAAAATATATCAGGAGTCAGATTTTTATAAGTGAACATACAGTCAGATTTTTATAAGTGAAACCCAATATCAAGTCAGTTTTCTCCAGACAAAGTAATAAAAGTTGTCACGGAATTATCACCAAAAGATTTCAGTCGACTTAGGTATGAAGTTCTTGTAATAACGTTTTGAAGTCGGACAAAGAATTTTTTTTTTTTTATTGCACTTACAGACATGCTGAAATCGTAAGACTTGTAGTAAACGTTAAGTGGCTCTTTGCTTCTTTTACTCGATCGTCATTCTTCTGGTAATGTCAAGTCAAGTCAAGTCAAATAGTTTATTGGCATAAACATTTTACACGTTCATCGCCAAGTTATATGAATGGCGGTTTATAATTTAACATAAAACATTGCATATACAATTACAAATTTTGTAATAAATACATGTACAAAACATACATAATATTTAAGTACAGAAAAGTATGGTGATGGATTTAACATAGCTATATACTAGTAATTACTAGTAATGATATAATTTCTTTTTTGCGGAAATTTTTGTAATAAATGAATGGGAAACCTTTCAAGCCCTTTTTAAATTTAAAGATAATTGTTTTTCGCATGTGTCAACAATTTTTTTTGGTTTGAATATTTGTTTTAAAAAGATTGTTAATAAAAAACAAGGGGAAAAGTTTTAAATAACAAAAGGGGGAGCAATGTCATTTAAGATGTACATGACTTTGTTGCTGTCTGAAGAAAGTCTGGTTTTGTTGTTGTTGTTGTTTTTCCTTGAATGAAAAAAAAAGGGAATATTAACTTGAAACGCATTACATATAAATGGTCCATGAATAGATTTTTGGCAAAACTTTTTCATCACTATTGAACTAAAGTGCTATAATAGTTGAGAAGTTAACTTGTTCAGTTCTGTTTGTGAGTTACATTATAAGTGTTCATTGTTAAAAGTTAAGTTGATTAAATTGTGTTGGTTCAGAAGTTGTGCAAAATGCTTTATCAAAATGTTACCAGCAGCAAAGTTTTTGTCCATGCTCCTTTTTTATTTTGAAGACCGAAAATTCCGGGGCACATCCCTGCTGGGTTTTATTTTGGCGCACCATGCTAAACAGTCAAGAAAACTTTTTCCATTTTCCCCTTTAAAAATGATGGGTTTTTTCCAGAAAGGAAAATAACCCAATTGGGGGGGAAAGGGGAAAATCCTTTTTAGTTTTTCAGAAGATTTTTTGGGCATAGAGTTAGAATAAAACAGGGCCTAATAGTAAATGTGGTTAATTCACTGTTAGTAAGTCGCATGACTAAAATTTTTGGCAGTTTACATTTAATTGACATTTTTATTAACTTTATGCTCACTGTGGGGTTTGGAAACATTTTATTTTGTTTTTAAATTAAACCTTTTTACAAGGTCATTAGCGTTTGGGATATTTGGGGAAAGTTTTACTTACTGGGGCATAATTAAATCTCTGTGACGGAAATTGGGAAAGTTAATTAAGATTCATTTATAATGTAAAAATCATGGAATGACTAAAAAGGGGAAAGGCCAAAAAACAGTGCAAAAACATGCCCTTCTGTGCAATAATGTTATGCTTAATGGGGTAAGGGGCGGTGTAAATCATGTATTTTTTTGGGGAAATTTTTTCTAATTCAAATAATTATGGAGAAAAAATTTTTTATTTTTTGAGGAAAAAAAATTGGGGATAGGAAGAAATGGAAAAGGGGAAGAAATATAGATGGTTTTAAAATTTGGGGTTTTTAGCAGTACAAGGGGTTCCCCCAAAATCCAATCTAAGGGTTTTATTTGCATCCCCTTTTTGAAACTGGGTTTTTGGGCTATTTTTTTTTAACTCACTTATTGAAGGATCTCTTAATCTTTACAATTTTGCATGTGTTTCAACTGCATCATTATCTTCCCATCCTATATAAGTGTGCTATGTTAATGACAATAGGTAGAATACAATGCAACATTGCAAGCACTTGCAGGAACAAATGGTTGTAACTTGTTTTATATAAGGATGGAGTTACAACTGTTTTCCACCAAGCCTTTGATTTAATATTTGATTAAGCAAATGATTAGAAAATGACAAAAGACAAAATATAAACCATAACAGACATCTGGTTATTCAGTGATGTAGGGAGCCTGTGTGCCACATAGCGTCCATTGATAAAAACAATGAAATGAAAGCAATGAAAATCTGAATGACAAAGATAACATCATTGATTTCAGCCAATGTGCTTATTGTTATAATTATGCTATACAAGATGGTACATAGGCTACAACAATGAAAATAATTCATCTGTAAAACAAAACATGATCCAAATGATATCTTTTGAAGAAATTTATAAATTAATAATCTACTAAGTATTTTGTGAATTGAATTAGATACATGAATCTGTATAAACATCAGAAAAGCGTGGTCATATTTTTTTTTTTTCAAGTTTAATAATTTAAACAACATGTCACCATGATTTTTATCAGTCTATTTTTAAAAAAACGACAAAAGTTTGGCTGATGCCACAGTTTTTCAGAGGCTGGCTTAACAAAGCATTTCAGCTGATTTTCTGCTGAATTAACTTTCAATATGCACTAAATATCAGCATTGCATGCTATCCTAGTTTGATCTCGTTAAACTGGAGGAGACAGATGAAATTGGACCAGGACCGACATTTGTCATGCTTTATAAATTGTCATTTTTTGCTGTCAAATTATAAATAGATCAGGGGCGGCTTTAGGGTACATGTCATGATGATACGTCTGGGAGGTCTGATGGGTATATAGTTTACAATCATTGCACCCAAAAATGTGCAGCTAGGATCATTCGCCTATAGACATATAGACAGAATGTAAACTGTTACATAGGATTTAGTGAAACTTTATATGGTAATTATAAATGATGACAGAAATGTTTTTATGGGGGAGAAATATAGGGGCTGGCAATCTTGTTTTAGAGTTATCTGCCCTTGATTTTGATTGATTTTTCTTTTTGCTTACTTTAGGTGATTCCAACGGAAGGCTATATCGTGAAGAGTTTCAAATTAAGATATCACTTGCAGCACATATCTTCACTCATAACATTTACCATCCCATTGTTTTTACTTTAAAGCAGTGAAAACTTTAAGTACCACTAAATCATAAATATCTTTATTACATAATTATGCTGATATGAATTTTTTTTTTTAATTTATACATTTTTTTGGGGGGGGGGGGATTTTTGGATGAAAAACAGTTCATTTTAATCATTTGTGAAAAAGAGGCATGTTTCTTCTAACATGTAGTTCTAAATTTCATCATGACATTTTTTCAATCAAATTAATTTCAGTTGGTTGAATTCCCTCATTTAAAGGGCATCAAACAGTTATTATTACAATAACACACATAATAACCAAAGGTAAAAATGATGTAGACATGAAAAAATTAGAAGACAGAAAAAAACTGCCATGATACGTGAAAGAATTTACATTACGTTAACCTAATTACGAGCATTTTGAACAGTTTAATTGCATAGTTTCATGTTCATTTCATTATGAATGTCATATGTTTTGCATATTACGAAGACAAAGGGAATCTGATGAATTTAAGAGCTCGTATAACCTCCTAACTGATTGGTGCTGTTTTGTTCAAACCAGATGTTAACTATTTCTCTTACGTCTCAAAGGAAACCACAGAAAATGTGAATAAATATGTTGTTCACATTTTCAATGAAATTGTTTTTTTTTTCTGTGTAATTTTTTTACGTTAACTAAATTACGCAATATTATTTGCTAGGTTTACGATTGTTACAACACAGAGATTGAACCCGTATGTTTTCTGTCATGCAACTGTATGGGTTTTATATTCTGTTTTATATATCGGATCATTTACTGATAGTGTCAAGTTATAAAGTGCAAATGTAACGCAAGATATTGGAAAAGCGTGGTTGATACTGGCAACGCAGGAAATGCAAATGAGATAGAATCTGTGTAATGTATTCCTAGTGCATGTTTCTGCATTCCTTTCATTTAAATAATAAAAATGGTGTATACTTGTATGTTTGGTTTCATGCATTTTTGGTGAAATGTAGTTTATTTTATGAAACTGATAAGAGTTCTGTAATGGGGGGGTCTCAGATTTGGCAGTTACTTTGAAATCACCAGAGTACAGTTCAGCCATCTCATCATTTCTAGGCATGCTGTCAGGCAGTTTCTAGTGCCTTCACTTTCTAAGGGACTGTAGTGCCTTCACTTTCTCAGAGACTCGTATACATTCTGTATATGTCAGAGCAGAGGTACAGTGTGAATGACCATTGAAAGAATATCATTATCAATCACAATGAAAGTGACCTGCATCTTTATAAAATCAAACCCGGGTTGCCCAATTCACAGTTAAATGCTCAATTCAGCTAACTGGACATGTTGGTTCAAATCCCTGTAGCCAAAGTTCTATATTGGAGTCTCAGCTCAACAGTTCTCCTTTCAAAGGTTTCAGCTAACACAGTTTGACTTTTTAAGGGTCTGGGCTGATATATGTCTGGTTTCCAAGGTTTCAGCTTTTTCAGAAGATCAACTGACATAAGTTTATTTTCATGGGTCTCTAATAATGCTGTTATACTTTCCAGGACTTGAGCTTTTACCGCTTTATGGACCTTGGGCATAAGAAGGAAAGACTCATTTAAATGATTTCTGCTTGTGAATGAAAATTCTATTAATATTAATAAAGTACAAATAATTTAATGAAGTTCAGAACTTTGTAATGGTTTATTTCAATATATGTATATTGATCAGTCGAGATTGTCCAACAACTGCCAATACTTATAATTTTGTATGATATAAAAAAAAAAAACAAGGGAAGAAATACCAGAAGTATACTTTTTCAAACTAGGTTTAATGAAAGTTTGTTTCTTTGTCTATTTTCAGGTTGCATCTGATTATCACTGAAACAGGGACTGTGTGTGATGTAATGAAATTATAAGACACTCTGCAGTGACGAGATGTGCAAAAATAGAGGACAGTTTTCTCCTGTGACTGAACAAAGTCCTGTGACCGAACAACAGTTTCCTACTGTGACCATATAAAATTGTGTGACAGTTTCCTGCCGTGTGACTGTTTCTAACTCTGATTAAGTGTAATTTTCCTAATGTGACACGATTTTCTAATGTGACAAAGTAAAATTTTGTGTGAAAAGCTTTCAAAGTAGACTTGATAGATCAACAACAACAACAATAGCAAACTTTGTGAACAACTTCTTTTTTAATTGGACACTTATGCAAATGAAGAAAAAAACATTATTTATAGTTTTATTAACTGAAAACATTATACCAAAGACTGTATTATTACATTTACATTATATGAATGGCCCTTGAAACACTTCAATTAAAACAGGCAGTCCTCTATATATAATAAATCATACACATATAACTTTTCTTGTTTTATAACTCCAATGGAGAGGTTTTAATTACATGCTCTGGCCAAATGGGCTGATCCTCTTGAAGGAAATTATAAATCACTGGTAACTGGTAACTTACTTAATTCTTAAAGCAAAGTGGTGAAAATTAGCTATTGTTAGATTGAATCATAAGCCGATAAGTATATTTTACAAACTTGTTTCTGCAACATTCTGATATCTGCTTTATGGTTTAGTCACACCAACACAATTATGGTGACTTTCAAGCTTTATTGGTGGAGGAAGACATCAGGTACCCTTTTGTGAAATTTATTTCCAATTAAATATATGAATGTCAACAGTGTCACAGAATGTGCATCAAAAGAAAATAAACCTAGAAATGTGTCCATAGAACACACATGACCCCTGTCATATGACATTTTTGCTTCCAAGTAGCAGTACAGCAACCTTGACCTAGAAGTTACACATGACACACCCTATGACCCTGATGAAAACATTTGCAAAATGTTTTAAAAATCCATTAGGGAATAAGAAAGTTATAAGCCAAATAGAATAGTGGATAAACAGATTTGACCTTTGATCTCCAAGTGCAAACTTGACCTTGAAGGTGTGGACATTGGTCTTATGTGCCACACATAGTCTGAAGCCGCACATAATCTGACTGGTGAAGACATATGCTAAGTAATTCAACAATACAACACTTAAAATTGTAAGCCAGGCAGGGTTTTGTTTTTGACCTCCAGTAATGACCTTGACCTTGAAAGTGAGGACATTAGTTTTGCAGGTATCGTCTGATAGTGGTGAAGACAATAATTTGGTCAAATATTTGGACAACCCATCAAGTATTAAAGAATTGTAAGCTGGACAGGGTTTGACCTTTGACTACCTTGACCTTGAATGTGCAGACATGCATCTGTTACTTAATACATTGTCTACTAATGGTGATCTTGTTATGAACTGCCTGTTACTTTAACAGATCCATGTTACTTTTGAAATTGTAAAAATGACTTCTGTCATAATTCTATAAAGACAGACTAACAGTTACAATAGCTACTGTATCTTCTACGACAGTTACTTTAATTTTGTAATTTTGCCAAACATTTTATTCAAAATGAAATTACTTATTAATGTTGTCTGGTTTTTTCTTTTTTTAAAAGTCAAGGGAGTGCTTAGCAATATCATTTTTTGCTGATAAGTAGGATCCCTGTCTATATTCCTCCTGTAAAAATGTAATAAAACTGAGATAAAGTAACATATATTCCAATAGATAAGTGTTAACTACTATTCAATATTGGCAATAATGTCATTATCCATGAACTTGTTGCCAGTATTTATGAAGTATAATACTTATTTTAACTATAGATACATTGTATTAAAATATCATACTAAGCTGCTACAGACCTCAATGACACAAGATTTTTTGCAATTTTGGGAAAGAGTTAGGTTCAGTCCCATTTAGGAAACAAATCAAATTTGATGCCAAGAAAGGCAAAAAAAAATAAACACATGTTTTTTTTTTTCTTGAAATTTAAATTGTTATTTAGAGATCATTATCTCTATTTCTGTGTAAGTCCAGAATAGCCTACCCCCTCCATGCAGTGATGTTTACTGCTCCACTTAAAGTTTTTCACTTAATGGGATAGAAAATAATTTTGATAGATTAATTTTCAGATCATTCCTTCACCCCTGTTTTTCCAGTATTGTGCAAAATGACTCAAAACGCTAAGCGCTGCAACGCTATTTACTCAAATCTGGCTAAGAATTGCACTATATATTGATTTTTAATTTTCTTGTACATGTATAATTATACCTTTACTGTCTTTTGCAGATTTTTCAATTCTAATTGCTTTGCTTGTCCAATATAAAAAATTTTCATTTTTTATGGCTTTTAACCTCAGTAGCTCTTTTACTGTAGCTTGACAATTTGCAGTACACAGTTCATAAGTCAAAACAGGATGTTACCGGTGTCAAGACAAAACCAACGTAATGCATTTGCGACCAGCATGGATCCAGACCAGTCTGCGCATCCCCCGCAGTCTGATCAGGATCCATGCACTTTGCTATCAGTTTCTCTACTTGTTATAGGGTTTGTAAGCGAACAGCATGATCCTGATAGATGGGGATGCGCAGGTTTCTGTCCAGCTGGTGAAAGAATTATGTGGTTTGTCATGAAGTCATTTCATTACTTACTTCATGGTATTATAACTTAAGATTAATTGATGCACTTATAAATTTTTCCTATTTGATGAAACATATCTGTATTTTTGATATGAAAAGAATCATTTCAGTAAATTCTGATACTGTATTATTTATAACCTGTGAACACACTATTAAATAATCTACTGATTTTATCAAAAACAGCTACATGTATATTACTGGCTTAGCCACAAAACACGATTCCATACTCAAAATAATACAAGTCAATTGTGTAAATGTAAGGTGCTTCTAAGCAAAGCATCTCAAATTTGTATGAGAAAAGAAAAAAACGCTGAAAAGTTTCATCTCGAAGAATGACAAAAGAATATCTCTGAATAAACAAATGTGCGAAATTATGAGTGCATTGATATTTCAGATATTTTATTACCTCAAATCGTAAGAATAATGGTCTTTTTAAGCTCCATATTTCGTCATTATTGTCACATTCAACCTTGGTACTGTCATTTTAAATTACAATATATTTATACAGGAAGTGCTAAATCAATAACTAATATGACAAAGACAGCATCAAAAGGCACAAATGTATAGGTATTAAATAATTTATTTCAAGTATAATGCGCCGTCAGTTCATGGTAAAAGCCATTAGGCACTGCCGCCTTTCTTAGTTTACATATTGCATGTCAAAAATTCCGGTTAAATCATGTCTTATAGTTAATAAGCTTTATTGACGTGCATGTTTGAATTTGTTCCTAGTTTAAATAATGGTACACTGTCACCTGCATTACGTTTGGTCTATGAGAGACTAGTCTATGTCTATAAAGATATTATGAAGAATATAGTATCGTGTTGCGTCAAGTCCTTGGTAATTTTTGTATATCTGATAACCTGATCAAATATTAATGCACTTCTATAGTGTAGCGTGCACTTTTATACTCATTTATCATTTTGCTTTTTTATTCATCAATATAATACAAGACTTCAAGTAAATAATCTAGAACAAACTTTCAATCAAACCTTGTAGGAGAAATTTAACAAAAAAGAAACAACAAAAAAGACCCAGAAGAAAGCAATTTCTTATCTTAAGTGGGCAATAACAATTCTTTGTTAACACTCGAGGCTAGTGGAAAAGTTATACAATATATCATTATTTAATATACACCCTTAAATTGCATTTAATGGGGGCTTTCTTAGAAATTTGACCCTTTTTTAAATTTTAAAACTTTAAAGTGGAAAACTATTTTTTGAAAAAGGTTTTTACTTTCATATAAAAGCCCAGATTCCCGATGGCACTGTATATTTCTAGTACAAAAAAAATTTCAGTTGCCCATAGGGCTCCCCTATCAATTGTCAAAAAAAAATAAACCCCCTTAAAATTTTACACACTGAAAAAAAATGAAAAACCCAAAAACTGGGGGGTCCAGCCCCCTTATCTGAACCCCCCAGCTTTGACCCGATGGAAAAATCATGTTGCCTTATATGGGAAAAGAATACTATAACCTTTTATTAAAAAATGCAAATTTTAAAAAGTGGGATATCAGTTAAATTTTCTTTTTCGAGTTTAAAAAATTAAGATTAACCCGATTTCGAACTCACTTGTAAATCAACACCGTTTATTATTATAATCATTTCTTATTCAATTTAAACTTAATGATTAAAATACTGAAGGTTTATTACAACCAATAAAATGTTAGTTGTTTTTTTTTCTTTGTCATTTTTTATAAAAAAAAATTTTAATATGGTTTGGAACAAAGATGGAAATGGGAACAGCTTTGCCGATATCTTTCTGTACAATCATAGACACTGTACCATTCATATGATTCTAAGCAGACAAAACTGATATGACGACAAAATTCGATGATAATAGTAGTAATGAGCTTAATAAAACTATTATTACAACAATAATATAAAATATTAATTATACAGACAATTACGTTACACGCATTCAAGTCCACAATACATAGGAACAGCTGGCGGTGTGTATGACTGTCAAACAATAATTATATTCCTCTATATATTTATATTGTAAGCTGTTACGTCCTGTGTCCTTACAAGACTTCTATGATGAATCATTCATGGAGCCATGTTTTGAAGCTTAATCTTACTGACTCATACAGCTGGAAAAAAACACTAGAAATGTGTCCATAGGAATGGTCAATGATGCATCCACATTCCAAGTTCTTTTGTCACAAAAAATCTGTACAATTATAAGTGTTCATATCAACTGAAATATAGCAATTATAGTTTTGGAATTCTATAAGACAAAGGACAAATCTGCTAATTTTTGCTTAATCAGGGGTCATAACTCTGTTTATCTCAAATTTGAATTTATCAATATGATAGTTTTAACCCTTTGCATAATTGACAGAACTTATATATACATTCATTTCCTACACACGGTCCTAAATATGGCAAGTCCTTTATCATACATACAGATAAGAAATTTATCCTACATATGGACAAGTTTTTTATTCTACATACGAATAAGTTATTAATCATACATACAGACAAGTTAGTTATCCTACATACAGACAAATTATTTATCCTACATACATACAAGTTATTTATCCTACATACATGTACATACAAGTTATTTATCCTTCTTACAGACAGGTTATTAAACCTAAATTAGGACAAATTATTTATCCTACATTTTAGAATTGCATTGTTCCAGTTAAGATTACATGTAGTAACAGGCTTCAACCTAAATAATCTTTTAATTTTTTAATAATCGCCATCTATAAGTACTTATGTAAAACTGACTTTGACACAAGATGTGGCTTAAATTTAGGTCAGAAATTGGGAGCACTAACATTTATTATGGTAATCCAGAACATTTATAATATGGATTTTACTCTCT